TTGTGACCCCATGGGGGGACTCATGCAGGAGCAGCCTGCTCCTGAGGGACTGCACCCCATGGGAGGGACCCACACTGGAGCAGTTCATAAAGAACTACAGCCCATGGAAAGGACTCACATTGGAGAAATTTGTGGAGAACAGTCTTCCGTGGGAGGGACCCTACACTGGAGCTAGGGAAGAATGTGAGGAGCACTTCCCCTGATGAGGATGGAGCAGCAGAGACAACAAGTGATAACCTGACTGCAACCTCCATTCCCTGCTCCCTGAGCCGCAGGTGGGGAGGAGGTAGAGAAATTGGGAGTGATGTTGAGTCCTAGAAGGGAGAGGTGGAGGAAAGGTGTTTTTAAGATTTAGTTTTCTCTCTCATTATCCTACTCCGATTTGACTGATAAGAAATTAATTTTTCCCCAAGTCAAGTTTGTTTTTTCTATGATGCCAACTGGTGAATGATCTCTCCCTGTCCTTATCTTGACCCACAAGCTTTTCATTATATTTTCTCTTTCCTGTCCAGCTGAGGAGGGGGGTGATAGAATGGCTTTGGTGGGCATCTACCATCCAGCTAAGGTAAACCCATTACACACTCCTAACTTGTTTTGACTTTCCTCAGGTTGAAGTTGGATCATTTATTAAAATTATTTTGAATTCTGATCATATCTTCCAAAGTGTTTATACTTCCCCTCAACTTGGCGTCATTTGCTATTTTTAAAAACACTTGCTATTCCATCATTCAATTTGTTATTGAAAAATTTGAACAGAACTGAATATATGGTGTGGTATCCTTTGATGTTCTGCTCCAAAAAAAATCTATTTTGATAGCATAGACTTAATTTTTTCAAATAGTTTTGCACTCACCTTATAGATATGTTATGTGGAAACAGTGTCTAAATACTTACTACAGTTAAACTGTTTCATTGCTACTATTCCCTTTGTTCACTAAATCAATTACTCTGTGAGAAGAAATTGAACTAGTTTTACATTATATGTTCTTGACAAAAAAAAAACTGGCTGTTTCTTGTCATCTTCTTATCCTCTAGTGCTTGTAAATTGATTAATTTTAGATTGATAGTGAGAGTGAGTGCAAAATTGCAAATTGACCAGAAATTAACATAAAAATAAAGCCAACCAGACTTTTCATTTCCCAGAATGAATGAAGTACAGGAAGATGAGCATAAAAGATGAAAACTGTATTTGATTTTCAAAGTTCTTTCATTTAAAATTCAGGATGGGGACCTTTACACTGAAGAATGAAATGTCAAGCTATGGTATTGAGATGAAACTTACTTATTTGGTTAAATCAAATGCTATTTTTCTGTGTATACACGAGAGATTAAAAACTTCATGGAGCTGCATGCATCTCAGAGTTTTCCTGCAAAATCCATCCTGCGATGCTGTAGCTCATGAAGAGAATGTGATAATTTCAAAGGCTGGAATAAGATCACTTCATTTTAGAAATCATCTTCAGAAATTCTTGAAGTTCATCTATAAAATGTATATGCTGTAAGCTTAAAACCCCACTAAATACTAAAGTTGTTGTTTTGCTTCTGTTCATTTTGATGCATGATATCAGAATAAAAAAAACTCTCTGCAGAGTATTTTTATAGAAAAAGTTCAATGTTTTTATTGGTCTTTGCATTGCTGTTTCCACTGCTGCTAAAAAACATGTTTGTTTTTCTCCCTAGATTATTATCTTCTAAATTATTTTTCCACATTCACCATTTTAATTTTTTTCAAGTGACAAGTCAGAGTGAAAGACAATGAAAACAGTAGTATTTTGTTGAAAACTATAATTTATACATTATATCAATTTTCAGTTGAAACCTATTGCTCATTGATTGAAATAGCATGTACTTTGACTCATTCAGAATAAGAGTAATTAAAGGTGGTCACAGGAGATTGGAATCAAAAAGTGTGCTGTAATACTGATTCTTGGATTAGTAACTCAGGTTGATATTCTCAGGTAAACATGAGATATACATCTCAGGTACACAAACGCTTTTTACACTGCAAGACGAGCTTACAAAGACCGGAGGAGAGGATCCACCTGACAAAAAAGATGGATAAATACATCCATGGATACATGGATTACATGGGTAAATAAAAATATCATGCTGTCAGCATAAGCCGTATGCACATTAAAGTCACTTTGCATAATAAAATGTAATTCCGCAGATGAACATTCCTTGTGTAGGCAAGGCCTTAGTTAACAGACTGAACTAAAAAATTTTGGCGTGAATAGCTGCTCAGAGAGGGGATTAACATACAATTGCATATTCTTATCTTAAGTTACCACTCTTCTGCTTATCCAAATGCAAAATAATACAAAGCAGTAGAGCCGATCTCCATGAGGTGGGATATCATACTGTTTAACTGGTCTATTGATCCTGCATGATGAGCTCCATTGGTTTGCTGAATAAAGCAAACAAGATTTCCATAACTATAGACAAAGCCCTTCACATGGCAAAAGCTTGATGCAAATTGATAGTAGCTGAATTGTTCAGATATGAAGTATCCATTTTAACCTTCCACTTCAAATGTCCTATCAAATCCTGCTTCAGGTGTGAAGCCCAGGAAACCAGTAAAACAGTGTGTACATTGAAGATGGAATTCTTAATGCTTCTTCATTAAACATCTCTAAAACTATTTTGAAACATGAGTTTTTCCATGAAGATGACTTGTGTTATTGTTGTCACTTTTGTTCTTCCTTTCTCTATTATTATAGAATGTTTTAGCTCACATGCTGTCTCTTGCCTTACTTTAGAAATAATTTCTGTGAAAGGGATCTTCTGTGTTAAAATACAGTGCCTGGCAGTTTGGGATCCTTTGCTTGGGCCATTTGGTATTACTGGAATATTAATAACACTAGCAATTTTTTGCTGAGATATAGTTTTATAATTATTACATTTGCAGGAGGGAGACAGACTCATGGTCTCATGATCATAGATGTTCATTTTCCACAAAAAGTTAAGCTGTTAGAGGAATGACATGGGCAATTTCTGGGCTATATCTATTCACAGAGGAGTCTGTTCCAAACCTAAATAGCCATTATAACACATGCCTCATTTTTGTTTTCTAAGAACATTTTTTCAGGTGTAGTTGATAGGGAATATATTGGTACATTTGAATAGAAATCATAGTGCTCTGTCAGCCTGATTCTGAGAGACAGTGCTAGGTGTATGCTGTTTTTCTAATAGGAAGTCTCCTGTTTTCTATAAATAGACATGTTTCAGTTCTGATTGTTCTGTACTGAAATAACTGGCTAGATGTCTAATTACTCTAAATAGAAAACACAAATAATGGCAGGCATTCAACCCCTCCTGAAAAATTGTTCCTAGCAGTTGACTGTTCTACTTCCTGGGCACTGGCTCAGAAACATGCTCGAAACATGCTAGGTCTGAGGACCCTTTTTCCTTTTCTTCTTTTCTCTTTTGTACATTCATATCAATCGTTCTGCTGTGTCCTAAAGGCAAATGATACACAGTGCAGCGTATCCTTTAGAGTCAGGGATCAAATTCATCCCTGGACAGGATATGTAACAATAAACAAGGGAAGGAAATGAACTGCTTCTGAGAAATTAAGTTCCCTCCAGCTCCCTTTCAATTTGCACACAGCTAGGCATTGTGCTTTATATGTAATTATAATGATTTATTCAAAGGTGTTTACTAGTCAAAGACATTAACATCTTGCTTGTCTGATAATTACGTAGCTGGTGAGGTCATTGAGTAGGTTGTTAACACTGTCAATCTTTTGCACTAAAATGAAGTATTTGCTTGTATGTTTCTTTAATGTTTCATTTATTTGCTATCTGTGCCATTTTTATCTATCTGCAGTTTTTTGTTTCTTTCACAAAGGAGCCCATAGTGAATCTGTCTTGCCTAAATTTCACATGCCTTAATTATTTTTATACCACAGTACGGGTTGTCGGAATGTGAAACTGAAGAATTCTTTACAGTAATGGATGCAGTGTACCTGAAAATTAATCTCTTCAGCTTTGTCACACTACTTATAAAAAAGGTGGTAGTTACTTTCATAGTCCTGGACCCGTTCTGCACAATCAGTTTATTATGGTACTTAACGTAAATTGAGTGTTAAATCTCCTTAAGTGAAATCTTCACCCTGCTTGGCATTTGTGATTGTGATTGTGATAAGAAAAAATTACATCTTGGAAAGGGAAATCAGCCAAAATAAATATCTCTGTGAGCCATTAGTGGAACCAAATTTAGGGGGTAATCTAATAAAATTAAGAAGGTGTCACAGATGGATAGCACAAAATAGAATAAAATGCATGTAATCTTCCCAACCTTGGGGAAAAGAACTAACCAACCAGCCACTGATATACCTGTCCCGCAGAGAGATTTGATCTAATGGTGTACTCTGCTTCGGATGCTGTACAGCTTCTCTGGATGCCCTTTCCATCTGGAAGTTCTTTATTTCTAATTGTCATCCTATCACTGAAACGGTTTACCTTTAATTGAACATATTCATGGTGTCCTCAACAGAATTAGTGATTCTGTTAATCTTTTGAAAGATGCCACTATCTCTCACTAGTCCAAATGACAAAGGCTGTATACAGAAGAAAACAAAAAACCACTTGAGGGAGCTGACCAAGCTCCTTTGAAGCTACACTGGCATTTCTATACCACACCACATGCTGTGATATGGACAAACTCCAAGACCTATTTGTATCTTCTAAACAAATTAAAGCAGCACCATATTATTGAAATTTTTAATTTTTGAATGCTAAACAGGTTAAACACCAGGGGACTGGACATCAGTAGGCACGTAAAACAGGAGGTGTCAACTGTGACATACCTAAATATAGTTCCAAAGGTTGAACTGTAGTAGTGAATATATCTTCTTCCCTTCTTCCACCTGTAACTGTTCATGTACTTAGCATTCCAACAGTTTGCTATGTTTCAGGATTTGGCTTTAAGTATTTTTTGTTCAAATAGGAATTACATGATATTTTCTTTCTTAATATACTTATTTTCTTTCCTGATAGGTGGTGTAAGCCCTTGGGATCTTTTGATCTGCTTGTCTTCCAGAAAAAATGATGGTACTCGCTGCATTGAAATGGGAGACTTGCATCATCTAGAGTTATTCCAGAAGGTACAAAGTTATTGTGTTAGCCTTTGTATGAATGAGAAGACAGGGCCAGCCCAAATTTTCAGCATTCACTCATAAAAAGAAAAGTATCTAATGCTTCTTTTATACTGCAGCAGCATGGTTTAACAGCAATAAAATAGTTTTTTCAAATTTCCTATCTACTAAGGAGTACTTATCAGATACCAACATTTCATTCTTCTTTATATCACACACAGTGTTCAAAAGCAATTTAGCAATTTCTCATTTGGACATATGTTATTTTAGATGTAAGTATTTTAGTGCAAATACTGAGAATTGTTACAACTGTGTCAGGTTTTCCTTTTCTCTTCTTTAGCCTGAACTTTTGTGTTCTTGGCCATCATCAACCAACATGTCAGGCAGCAAAATCATCTACAGAAATCAAGGGAAATTTAAGCATTTAATCCCATTGGAAAAGATAATTCAGAAATGTAGAGAAACAACTAGTAAAAGCATAGAGTATTTCAGAATAATAGTATAGGCAGAAGATAAAGCTGGACTAATTTAGGTGTCATATCTAATATCACTATTGAATTTCATCTAATTTAAGCACCTCTCCAAACAGTGGCAGTGCTCCTACAATTGATAATGTGCGAGCTGGAGCAGTGTCCTCCTTCAGGGCCTTCATGGGAATTCCTTGCTCTGGCATTGCAATCTGCTTACAGTCCAAAGCATCAGTGGTGTCAATATTTATTGGTATTTTCAGGATTTTTTTTTTTCACTTGAGTGTGTTGTGGGCACAATTTACCTTACTTAGCTATGCAAATGTCTAAATATGCACCTGGCCTGTTGGTAAAAATATGTAAGTCACTTAAGCTGAGATCTTTCTTTGAAAAAACATGTCCAAACTAATGTTTGGCTTGTATTTCAGGTAAAATGGCACAGATAATAATGGCAAGATGCAAAAGTATAGACTCTGACTTGAGGGACTGGGAGAAATAGAGCTGTTTTTAAAAGATATTTAGTTCAGGTATGAAGTTCAAGAAGATATAAAAAACCACTGCATGTCCACAGAAGTCAGAGCTAGGAGCATGTACCCTGGGGTTCCCTGGGACAGGATGCCTTATCTAAGTGTATCCAAAATTAAATTTTTATAACAGTTCCAATTTGCTGGAAATATACGTGCTTTGAGTTCAGGTCTCAGATCATCAAACACCCCTGGCTTCTGAAAACTGTTTTTTGCTCATTCTACCTGAATTAACAAATCTGAGCTTCTAATACTGTGCAGTATAACAATCCTTAAAACACTCTGCGATATCCAGAAGTTTCACACATGAATAACTGAGACACAAGGTGATCAAAGGAATTGTCCAAGTTCTCTGAGGAACGCTGCAGCACAGCAGGGACTTAAACCAGATGGCCCATATCTCCAAATAACTTTAAATATTGGGCTGACATTATTTGCTGCTGGCATGTCCATACCATGGTGCAACACAGTTCCTCGTTGCAGAACCTGGATGCAGCTTAGCTATGTTACCTTACCACTGTTCCCAAGCAGAGCAATTCAAGAGAGAAATAGGCTACTTCCACACAAAGAGAGACCGTGATTGATAACTGGCAGAGGACAGGGAAGCTGCAGAAGCTGAAAAGCGGGGCAAGGAAGGAGTGAAAACTCAGCAGCCAGGAGGAGAGCCGTAGGTCTAATATTTTGTTTTCTGATGGCCATGGAGGAAGAGCCCACACTTTAACTTCATTATCCCACATTGCAGAGATGGTAAAGTTGTCATTCCATTTGACACTGACAGGAGGTTTGCACATGAGGTGTCTCTGATAAATTAAACAGAAACCCATTGAAGGGTCCAGGAGAAAGAGAACTTTTCTGAATCAAATCATTAAAGCTTCTCTTTTTGCATACAGGTAAACATACTTCCAGAAATCCAGCATTTCCTTTGCAGAAAAGAAGGATTATGCCAGATAACAAAAGCCTTCTCAGGTAACGTAATTTCTTAAAATCTGCATATGTAATAGTGGTCTTTTAATAGTTGTCACAGGAAGTCTCTGAAATGAGACTGTCAGACTTATAACTCCTTTTGATTTTTAGTCATGAATGCAGAGGGGGAAAAAGATTAAACAAGAATGATAATTCCTTTCAGACACCACTTAAATACAGATTACAGTTATGCATTATCTTTACAGGTAAATTGCAAATATTGCATTGGTTAGCTATTGCATACTACAGAAATAATTTGGTTGCAAATGTCTTACTTTTGGACTGTTTTGTTTTAATATAGTGTATTAGTGTTTACACTTCAGAACCCTGGATTCAGTGTAATATGTTTGTTCAGCTTTACAATGTTGTGGCATGGAGAAGGAGTAGGAGTTGGAGATTGGTACCCATCCAGACATAGTTTACTGATAAAAGGTCTTTGTGTACTAAGATCATCAACCAGAAAAGTTTAAAGGTTATGGGAAATTTGCCAGAGAATTCTGGTTTATTATGGGTGAAATTTGGCTTTGAATATAAATTGGAAAAAACTGTTATGCACCGTATTAGGTCTATTTAAACTACAGAGGGACATATTATGATCTCAGTTACACTACTAAATATCCAGCAACAATGATATTTTGGATTTATTAGCTATCTTTACTATATAAACTCTGCTTATGAGAAATTTTGTCTTTTTTTTTTTTTTTTTTTAAATCCAGTAACAACCAACCCCACATTTATTCCATTAATATTTGGCCTTGTTTTCAGACAAATATACAAGATTGATCAGTCTGAATTTTTTTTCTCTTTTTTCCCTTCCCACCTTCCCCCTTCCCTCCCCTCCCCTCCTCTCCCTGATCCCTTCTCCTTTTTCTTCTCCTTCTCCTTCCCCCTTCCCCTTCAGTTTCCTCTTTTGCTTTTCCTTTATTTTCTCCACTCCTTTCCCTCTCCCTTTTCAGTTTTTATATATATGCTATATTTATTGCGTAAGGAAAGGATTCCTTACATCTCATTTAACCATTTAGAAGTTAGGTATCTTCTGCAGCAGTACTCTGGTCTTCCCCTTAAGTCAGTGGAGAGAGAGGGGCACCTACAAACACTATTTCATTTTGTCCTAAATTATGTGTTTAAAATAGGTGTGTTGAATTACCCTCTGCAGGTACTTAGTACCCAGCTGTCTCTCAACACTGACTGTAAATGAAGCCTAGACAAGTAGCTTAGATTAAATACCTGACATTTGGATGCTTGACTAAAGTTGAAGTTAGGTGATTCCTAACCTAAGCATACCATATTTTCCCGTCTATTTTTTGTACTGTTTCATTTAAACTGTTTGATCAATACTTAAAACCTATGCGAAACATTTCCCTTAAAGAACTGTATGTTGAGGGTCAGTTTAAATTGGACATTGTCAAACTGATCATAAGGAGCATGCAGTATAGTGAACGCCTATCCAGGTCCCACGAGAGTCCTTTATCATGAAGTCATACTATACCACATAAGTGATGTATTCTGTTTTGGCTGAATTTTAAGTACATCTCCAGTGATGCCTAGTGACTTGGTTCTCTTACACCAGAAAGTGAATTAGAAAGTATTCTGATAAAATACCAGTTTCAGAAAAAAACTGAGCAGATTTCTAAAAATTTCAAGAACTTCAGGAATTGGTAGGTCCTCTTCATGTCACAGACTTTCTTTAAAAAACACTGGTTTGCCCTGATACTTGGAGAAAGGCCAATTGCAGTGGTTTTATTATTTTGCTACCGCAAAACCACGAGCATAAGAGTCACTCACCACACACAGAGCTTTTGCCTTAAAATATGCATATTTCCACTGTTGTCCATAAACTGTGGTACAAACCACTTTGTGTATGTGGTCTGTTAAGATGTTTGGTGTTTTCTCCTGTATTGGGTTTGTGTGGCAAGGTTTTAGTAGAGGGGGGCCTACAAGGGAGGCTTCTGTGAGAAGCTGCTGGAAGCTTCCCCCATGTCCAATAGAGCCAATGCCAGCTGGCTCCAAGATGGACCTGCCACTGGCCAAGTCCGAGCCCATCAACGATGGTGGTAGCACCTCTGGGATAACATATTTAAGAAGGGGGAAAAATACTGTGCAACAGCAACTGTAGCTGAAAAGAGGAGTGAGAATATGTGAGAGAAACAACTCTGCAGACACCAAGGTCAGTGAAGGAGGGGGAGGAGGTGCTCCAGGTTCTGGAGCAGAGATTCCCCCACAGCCTGTGGGGAAGACCACGGTGAGGCAGGCTGTGCCCCTGCAGCCCATGGAGGCCCATGGTGGAACCGATATCCACCTGCAGCCCGTGGAGGACCTCATGCCGGAGCGAGTGGATGTGCCCAAAGGAGGCTGTGGCCCTGTGGGAAGCTCATGCTGCAGCAGGCTGCTGGCAGGACCTGTGGCCCTATGACAGTAGATGGCTGTGTGCAGATACGTGAATTTAACACTTGGTATCTAAGCTCCCAAGATTAACAAAAGTACAGTTTAGAGTGAGCAAGCCCAAAAGAGCATTTACTTTTAGAATAATTTATGGTTAGTTGAATTGCTCCACACTGACTATATAGACTACACTGACGTCCACTGACAGGAATGTGAATTTAGACCTTGGCACATAGGGAGTCATCTTTGTATAGACCAGATCTCAAAGCCTCTCAACCCAGAAATGAATCCCATTCAGTATGACTGGATATGTGACATCTAATTTACTACGAGTGGAATTTACCCATAGAAGGTGAAATTAGAATCAGAAGGGTAAATCATTTGGTTTTAGGTTAAGAGGACAAAAAGGCATAACTTAAAGCAAACTTCTAGACCCAAGATTTTAGATACTCTCCTCCCATTCATCTCATAAAGCCAGCTCTTCCCACTTCTTTCTTTTGCTTGCATCCTCTGACGGACCTTTCTTTCCAGTGGCAGCAAAGTTGTCAACTATTAGGATTTGTTTGATCCTCAAAATTATTCAGGGAAACCATGGTTTTCATCAGTATTTCCTCCACAGAAGAGTTTGTTCCCTTTCAAATCAGTCATGTACTTTCACTCTTGTGTGTTTGAATCAAAAGGGCTTCTCTGTAATTCCTGTTGAAGAGGATCAGTTGGTTTGTTATTACTGTGTTTGTCATTTAGTCAGCCTCCCAAGGAGCCAAGCAATTTCCTGTAAACGTGAAAACATAAAGTTGCTGCTCTGAGAATTATGTGATGTAATTAAAGGCCCACTAAGTCCTAGAAAGAAATATCAGGCAGCAAGGCTGAAAGGATAGGATTACTGGATTTACTGTAGGTATGACAGTGGTGATATTGGTAAGCAGTGGGTGCAAGGGTAAAGGTTATTTTTAAAAAAATGTTATTTGATTTGTTGTGCAACTCTTAAGCTGCTAGGTTTTGTATTTAAGAGAGCATACCTCTTCTCATACCCCTGTTGTATCTATACAGGAAATAAACTGTATTGTGGAAAATATCAGGTCAGTGATTGTTGCTTTGCTTTGTCTCTTTAATGGAAAAACTTTTTGTCAGTCTGAAAATTCAGATAGGTTCTATCTGTATGGGGGGGGAAAATTATGCATACACCAGTGATAACTGCTTTTTAGGAGACAGGAGAGAAGCTGTAAAGAGAAAAAAAAGGTTAGGAAAATCAGACTGGAAGAGTTTAGAGGAGCAAAAAGGTAAAAAATATGTGATGTATGTGAATAAGTTGGACTGAGTAAGAGGTGGAGTTTCTGGAGGATGGGCACATGCAGAAGTCGGTTTGTGATGAGGCATAAGAATGGTAATGGATCTTAAAATTCAGCATGAAAGACACTGATGAGTGATTGCTGCTCAGTCTGGGAAAATTTGTTTCACTCCTGCTTTGGTAGGTCATTTGGCCCAGTTTTTAATCAAGTGCCTGATACCTGCTCGCTATATGGGACTTGGGCCATGAAGAGGTTTTGGTGTGGCTATTGAGTGACCAAAGAAGGCTCCTGGAATTTAATGCTCAGGACTAAGATCCACAATGTGAGCAGAATTGCCCAGCCTCAGTTTAGGGCACAGGAAAGGCATCCTGGTGTATGCACAACAAATTCTTTGACAGGTGTTATCTGGGAAAATAGTGGAAATGCTTATAGCATTGCTTCTCTGATTTTCCAGTTCTGTAAGCAATCCAGACTAGTTTGTCTCCCCATATAAGCATTTGTCTTCCTTCATCACTTCCAGGGCCCAGCCTGTGCCATGCATATATGTTTTCTCTACCCATCCAGATCACCTATTCTTTTTACAGTAATACTTCTGCTGTGCTCCTTCCCTCTGTGTTTCTTTGTATTAGTGTCACCAGTTCAGAGTCTTTATGAGTGTCTACCAGCCTTGCATGCTCACTGGATCACCTGCGGGGCTGGCCAACAGCATTAATCACACAAAGGTCTTGGGATAGGCATGACCCTAATGGAATTGGGTGGGAGGGAGAGCCAAGATAGTCCAGCTGTGTGACTGTGCTCTCACTATGTGATGTGTTTACTGTCTGGTGCTAACCCCACACCAGCGTTCCTCTCCCCCTGCCTTGCAAATCTGCCCTGCCTGCCCCCAGCATCTCTGGGTTACTCTGAAGTCAGCAGGAAAGGTGATGAGGTGAGGAGAGGAAGCAAGGCTCAATGGGGCCACCTATGTAAGAGAGAAATTATAGATTAAATTTTATTTTCTTTTGGAATAATTCAACATCTCTGGTGCAGGAACATGCTTCTTTATAGAGCGATGCATTTCTTTTGCCAGCTGGCCCTTATAAATGTCTGCACTTCAGTTGTGATCAGTTCTGTATCTATTACCTTTCTGTTACTGAAATTGCTTAGAGCCTCAAGAATGACAAATAAAATCGTCATCTGATTTTTTTTTTAATTAATTTAATTATAAACAACACGGGGCAGGATTTTCTTTGTTTTACAATAGGCTCAGATCTCAACTAGAACAAAACCCATACTTTTGTAATGACAACGAATATGAGTACACTGAAAAAAAGTAAAGCAGCTAAATTAATT